ACCAAAGAAGAATTGGTGCATTTGAGTTATGGTGTTGGAGAATACTGAAAGTACCATGGACTGCCAGGAGAACAAACAAAACTGTAGTTGTAAGAAGTAGAGCCAGAATGTGCCTTAAAATCTAGGATGGTGAGCCCTCTCTCCATGCTCTTTGCATGTCATCACCACGGAGGACCAGTCCCCAGAGATGGGCATCATGATGGGTGAAGTGGAGGATCAGCGAGAGAGAGACAGACAGACAGACACAGAGAGACAGAGAGAGAGAGAGACTCCCAGTGGGACACGGCGGCAGCAGTCCTGAGGATGGAGCCTCCTGCTGGCCATTTCACCACAGCTTTCACTAACAATCCAGTCACTGTGACTCCAAATTGGGTCCATAGCAGTGGGAGAGTTAGCATCACTTTAATTTGTTGTCCACAAAATGTTAAGACTGCCTCATGTTTCTCGCGCAAAGGCGGCTGGGTACCAACCATCAACCTTTGTCAGCAGCCCAATGCTCACACCACTGTGCCAGCAAGGGGGGGACGACTCCCTGTTCCATTATCAGTCCACAAACATACTTAAATACCACTTTTATATATTCTAAGATATCACTTGTATTCTAAACTCTGTATACAAATAGTTGATAATCATTTTTTTAAATCTCTAAAATAGAGATGTGTTCCACCCATTTTTCATTAAAGCATAGAAAACAAGTGAATTGCTCAATACTAAAAAACTGGTAAAGCCCAGCTGTCTTCCTGAATTTTATTATTTTCTGGCTCACAATACCATTTTAATAAAAATATGTTTCACTTTGTTGGGCAAGAGTAAGGAGTCCTGGTGTGGCACTGTAGGACAAGCACTGGACCGCTCCTCAGAAACCCTATAAAGGGTTGCTCTGAGTCAGGACCAGATCAAGGGCACTTAAGAACACTGTGAACCCTGGTGGAGACTTGGATGGCCAGCAGTATGGCAAGACCCGGGACTCCTGGGCCCAGAGGCAATGGCATGGCCACAGAGGACTAGAGCAGAGAGTGAAGCATCTAGCTGATATGAAGTGAGGGGAGATGCATAAGAACACCCATACTTGCGGATAGTACCCATTGGACCTGGCTTCGATGGCTGGATGGTCAGAACTCGACTAGAAGAAGAAGGAAAAAAGGTAAAATTTGATGAACTTTACTTATTCTTATGGATATAGTAGCTCAAAAAAGGGAACAAATCTTTACAGCGAGGATCACTCCCACCCCCTCGGTACACAAGGTTGACAGGGATGGACGACTTAGACATTGACTACCCAAATGTCCTGGTGTGACGCTGTGGGCTAATGTGTCAGATTTCAAAGTTGTTTGAACTGCAAGGTCGGTGGTTCAAGCTCACCAGCTTCTCCTCGGAAACCATATACAGGGTCACTATGGGTCGGAATCAACTCGATGGCACTTAACAACAACAACATAATGGCAAGAAGTGACTAGCTTATAAGCTTTCAAAAGGGAGCCTAGTTCCAGACGTGGCAGGGGTAGGTAAAACCTCCACTGAATTGATTTCCAATCTATTGGGACCAGGCTGGCGAAAGGAAATGGGGTAAGACTTTTCTGGTACAATAGTGAATAATTGCCATCAGGACTGACTGTGAGGGTAGGAAATATAGAGGTAGATGTTTTTTGACAAAAGAAGGAGAGTGATTGATGTTGCAGCCCAGGAGCGGAAGTCCCTGGGACCATCAGGTGAGAACAGAGTGGGACCCTACCCAGAGAGGCAGTGACGCCAGGGATGGAGACAGAGATGATGACGTGGACAGATGGTGCGGCTGGGGACACTGGACTCAGGGAGGGAGAAGGGCTGTCTGTGTGCTAGTGGCCGGGGGGCAGGCCTGTGTGGTGTACTCTTTGGTTGTTTAATGATGCATGGAGGGATTGTAATCATTTCAATGAAACGAAATACGATAGGATGAGTGTAAAGCTGATGTTCTCCCATGTAAACCTCACAATAAAAAAAACCCACTCAGGAGACAGTTCCCACAGCTTTCTATTCTCAGCTTAAACATCTCTTTGAAATCTCCCCTTACAGTGAGTGCTGCCCATTTTCTGAGCCTTTGGTGTCAGCACAGACCCTAAATGTGTGCACCTGGTTCTATTCTTTGCTTGGCTGGTTTGTCTAAGCTTCCTTTCCCCTACATAACTTGGTGCCCTTTAGGGGGCAGGAACATTTGGTTTTAATTTGGAATCACTCACACTGAGTATCATCATAGGCACCCAGGGCATCCTAACGTGCAAGTCCTTTGGATGGGGAGGGGGTTGGTTAGAGAGAAAAGGAATGAGGCAAAGAAACTATTGAAGTCCACTGGTGTAGGGAAGTCTCCTGGTGTAAGAAACCAGGAGAGCAATATGAAGTCACGGCGAGCCTGTTAAACAGAGGGGCAGCTGCAGCCTCCTAGGAAGAGTGGGCGCAAAGGCAGAGGCTGGTAGACTAATAGAAATACCACCGCCAGGAGGCCTCAGGAGATCCCTCCCGACAGCTGATTATGTGGATTCGCTCCACCTGACTAAATCATCCACATTAAAGGCTACATCAGTGTTATCACAACTGTGTTACCATCAGCACATCCAGCCTATGGTTTTGTGAAGTGCTGTGGAGTTGGTTCCAACTCATAGCAATCCTGTGTAGTTTTCCAGGCTGTAATCACTTCTGGAGTGGAGCAGCCGGTGACTCAAGCCTCCAACCCTGAGGTTCCCAGTCCAGTGCTCATTCTCCAGAGCGGCCGCCCTCTCATTCCAGGTCCTATATGTGGCAAAGGATTAAGTATGGTAAGTTCAGTTGCTCAGGAATCATTACCTGAACTCCATTCTCTCTTCCGTTCATCTATAGCTATGAGTCAGACTCTGGGCACGTTTGTTAACCTCTCTCTACATTTAAGCAGTGGCTCGGTAAGATACTCACTGGAATGTCAACCACAAAGTTGGCAGTTCCAGCCCATGAGTCTCTCCGTGGGAGAAAGATGAGGCTTTCTGCTCCTGCAAAGATTTAAAGTCTCAGAAATCCACTCCAGAGTCTCTGAGTCGGCAGCAACCCAGTGGCACTTGATAATAGCAACAACATTTACCTCATTAGGCTAAGAAAAATTACAGTAAGCACAACATGAGATTGTTCTCTGAAGAATGCCTAATGCATGTTATAAACTCTGTAAATATGTTCTGAGCTTGTTGGGTAGTCAGGGCAAGCCGGAATCTCCTTGGGACTCAGGCCCCAGCAAAGAGAAGTGCATTCTGTAGTTGAAGTTAATAGCATTCTATACAAGTTAATTAGGTAAACTGTTCATTTTGTATTGTTCAAATATCTTACACCCTAACTTTGTCTTTTTGCTTCTTTAGTCAGTTACTGAAAAACACTGATTTGGATTTGTCTATTTTTGTTATTTATTTGTACACCTGAGGCTGTGTTATTAAATGGATATAAGATTTGGTTATATAGTCCTGGTAAATTACAATGTCAATATTTATATACAACTTTCATATAGCACTTACCTTATATTTTAGCAATGAGTAATCTTACTATTTACTTTGTCTTTGATACAGTCACAGAATTTACATTTGGTTAATTATGTCCCCAGCATATTACTTTCACTGTTTCTATATTTCTGTATTTTATACAAACAGTTTCAATTTTTATCAGGTATGATAATCTTTGACATTTAGCTTTTGAGCATTTTCAGTTCATTTAATTAGGTAGTATTTGCTATAGATCATCTAAGTATTATACTTGGCTTTTTGTCCTACTTATACTTAATCTTTTATCATTCCCTTCCCATATTCTGAATGATAATGGTATTTTTAGTATTCTACTTTCCTCTTTATAATTTTATATGTTGACAACTTTGCCAAAAGTCCCTTGTTTGAAAAGGTTACAGATAAAATATTGAGTACAAAAAAAAACTGTGTGTTTTAGAGTCCAGGATTGTGTTGTTATAAAGGATAAAGACATGGTCCTACACACTATGTTGTTTAAATGTTAAGTGGGTTCCAACTCATAGTGACCCCGTATAAGGTTTCCAAGGAGTGGCTGATGGATTTGAACACTGACTTTGTAGTGAGCAATCCAGTGCTTATCCTAGGACACCACACCAAGACTGCTACACACTAAAGGGACATGCATGTCTAATGATCAAGAGTCATGTTTTACCTGTGTCTGGTGCCTTTAGCCCCAATAACTTGAGTTGTTCCACCAGATGGTAGTCACTCGTGCCTGTACAAGGACAGAGAGATTACTCACAGACTTCACGCTTACACAGGTCAACTGGCGGAGCTTCAGCTTCCAGCTCTGCATTTATTTTATCACGTGAATGTAAACATGTTCAAATATATTTCAAGTACATTTTTATACATACACATATATATTACTTCATATATATATATATATATATATATATTTCTAATATAAATACTCTTCGTGTCAAGCTAAACAGGATAAAAACATGTAAACATATACACCTGATTCTGGTCAAGTAAAACACAGAAGTGCAAGATAACCACAAGATGAACAAGCATGTAAACACAGAGAGAGGTGCAGCCACACCAGGGCCCACAATGGTCCATTCCTTAAGGCTATCATCCTTGGTCAGGCAAGACTTCCCTTTACCCTGTCACAGTTATTAATTGAAAGACTTCAAAATGACTGTGGAAATTCTGTAAACACTAACCTAGAACCAACTACATCCTTTTGAAAACACAGATTACAAGATAAACCATGAACTGACAGTAGTATTAATTGCACTGAACATTAACTTTAAGGACTTCTGTTACTTTGAACACAGTGAAACACCATCAATTCCAGTGGGAAAGATACGACCGTTGTTACTCTGAACACAGTGAAACATCGTAACTCTAGTGGGAAAGATACGAGGAAGAAAATAGAGAGGGACGCTGCACACAACTGTTCCAAAAGCCCCTGAAACGGCACGATGGGGAGAATAAAGGTACAGAGGCAACAGCAGATACTAGACCACATGCCATGGAGCGATGCTACAGATTCCTGCGGAAATATTTGTCCAGTTTAAAAAGAAGCTTCAACAACAGCTTGGCCAGACGAAGTGTGCCATTCTCCATTTCCTTGATCTTCAAGGGCATGTTGCCCTGTAAAAGTTGATTCCCATAAATGCTGGATGTTCCAGCCTCCTGCCTCTGAGAGTCTTCTCCGGAGCTCTCAGGGTGTGAATGCTTGTAAAAACAGTGCTCTCCAAACGGGCAGCGGCCCCTTCCTTCGTCGAAGTACCTGCACGCCTTGTTGCTCATCGCCTCTTTGTATTGCTGAATGAGCTTCTGCTTCTCTTCCTCGTCCTCCACCCAGAACTCACTGGGAATCACGAAGTTGGAGGTGATCCTGCACTGCGGGCACGACTTGACGATCCTGTTCTCGAAGTGCTTGGCTCGCCTCCAGGCGCGAATGCACTTGAGACAATAGGTGTGGTTGCAGCTGGAGAGGATGCCGAAGCGGCAATCGCTGGGGTGGGCTTTTTCATAGACCACCTCCATGCAGATACCGCACACCTTTTCCATGCTGCACTGCACAGCAAACGATAGCTCCATATCCTTCTCGTGCGCGTCTATGCAGGCCCGGGTGTGCTCGGCCCTCTGCACAGCATCCACCGGGTGCATGACCTGCAGCCCACACAAGTCGCAGGGCTCTCGATGGAGGTAGGTACATCTCTCCTGACGAGGGCACGCGCCTCCAGCAGCATAGGGGCAAAGCTGCTCCCCCCTGCCCGCGGCGATCTGCTCCTTCCCCACCATCGAGCTCTGGGGGGGTGTCTCCCGGACGGGTGGAGCCCTGCGACCCCGATAAGGCTGCCCGGGGACAAACTCAACCGCATCGCACCAGGCTCCGGCTCCGGCTCCGGCTCCGGCTCCGGCTCCCGCTCCGGCGGCTGCACAGCCTTCCCACTCAGGCTCATCTTCAAAGAAACCCCTTTCTGCATGGGAGCCAATCGGAGGCCAGGAGCTTGAGGAAGCAGCGAGGGGGGCTTCCGCCCCACCATGAGTCAGGGAGCCGCTCTGCGCAGTCGTGCTGGGGCCGCTGTCATCAGAGGCCTGGGGCGGGGGCGCGCGGCTCACGGAGGCCCCAGTCGGGCTGGAGAGCTCGTGCGAGTAGCGGCAATTGTCCCCTTCTTTACACAGCCCATGCAGAAAGTACCTGCAGGCCACCAGCTTGGTCCAGCTGCCGCTGGCCCGGTCCCGGAGCCCCAATAGTCTCGCCCCGCCCCCCGAGGCCGGTGCCAGCACGCGGCGTGACGCACAGGTAGGGGCCGGGCCTAGCGCAGCCGCGGCCCTAGGCGCCCGGAGGCCGGGCCGGGAGCCCTGCTGCCCTGCTACCACGGCTTCGGTCCCGGAGGAGGCAGATGCGGCCGCGGAGGCTTCTGAGGGAGCTGCAGGCTCTTCCATGGCAGTTTTCTCCCTACAATGTTGCTAGGCCTAGCCGGTGGGGCTTTCTAGAACGTTTGAGGCCCTGCGAGCGAAGCCAGTACGATGGTTCCTCTTTGGGAGGTCCACCACTCTGCACCTTCCCCCTTGCTCCCTGTTCCCTGTGCTTGTAGTTCCTTTGTTCCGCCTGGCGCCTGCGAGGCGGACACTTCCTCTAGGGGCAGAGCTGGTCCTCCGCTGGGAGGGGGGACATCCGCTTTGGTCAGCCATGCGCGTTAGCCACCAGCTCACCTGTTGCCAAACCTGCCCAGCTCTCTGTCCGACTCCTGGGGTGGCCCTGCACGTCGGCAGTGTACTGCGAGCCCCAAGGCCAGTTGTTCGAACCCATCGGCTTCCCTTTGGAAGCCCTATCACCAGGAATCGGAATCGACTTGTGGCACTTAGCACCCACCACGCTGTTGGCGATCTTGGCTGGGGCTGTAATTAACACTCTCGCGGGTTTGGGTTAATGTCTTGTGTTTTTCACACCCGAACCGTGGCTGGTGCGTTGGGTAAGCACTAGGCTGCTAACCAGGAGGTGCGCGATCGCGGGACAATGAGGTGGACCTTCGGTAACCGGATAGCCCACCACCCTGAGTTGGGTCTGAGCCCAGCTGTCCGACCTCCGTGAATGGGGGGCTCCTTCCGTGATGCTTTTAGTCTTTTACTACAAAGGGGCGATCCCAAATCTTCAGTGCTCTGGAAGACAGACTAGAGTTACCACTTCGGAAAACCGTGCGGGATCCGGTGATAGGGTCGCTAGGGGATTAAGCTTGGGGTTTGGGAGAGGTTTCATTCATACACATTGGGATTTTTTTTTTTTTTTCTCATTCCTTATCTATTTTTAAAATCATGCACCCTTCTTAGTTTCTTAATTTTAAAATCTCATTCTGTAATTTCTGGGACACTTCACCCATGAGTTTTATTATATATTCTATTTCTGTTCCCTGAAGATTTTGTTTGGGTTTGATTATTTTCACTGCTTTAACCTTTTTCTGTTTGTTTTGTTCTGTGGTTCTTAATGTCTACATATTTTTATGGTTTACAGTTGGAATCACTTTTCTGCAAGTCCCTAGCAGGGTACACCTTGGGTCTGAGGCCAGTTTAGCATCTTTCAGATGCCTTAATTTATTGTGGTTTCTAATTCTCACTTCCCCATTTGACAGAGGCGCCAAACGTCTTCCAGTCCTGAGGCTGGCCTAATAAACGACTGTACTGTAAGTGCCCTGACTTTAATTTTCTCTTGACTGGTTTAATTCATGGTGTTTCTTTTTCACTTTCTTCTTTATCTTCTAATTCATCTAGATTTGTGCTGTATTTATGACAAGACAGCCATTCAGAACATTGATTGCACTATATTTTGTACAAATTGTTAGTTGCCATCAAGTCCCATTCCAACTTCTAGCCAACCTGTATAGGATCTCTGAGAAGGCTGATGGGTGAAAACCACTGACTTTGTGGTTCACAGTCCAGTGTTTATCCTACAGTCCTGCACCACAAGTCCTAGTACAAGTGATTTTCTTGCGTTTCCAAATGTGTGAGCTCTTTGTCATGTTGTAGATCAATATTAACTCATTTTTAAATAATTTTATAGAGTGTCATTAATATATTGTGAATATTGTTTTCTGCTTATATTGATATATGATACTATGTTTTTCGTTCTCAATGTGATTATTGACATGGATAGATTTTGAAATAGTTAACATTTTTACAATGAATAAACCCTTCTGTGTTATGAAAGGTCAGTGGTTCAAACCCACCGGCCACTCCTCGGAAACTATACAGTTTATACAGGGTTGCTATGAGTCAGAACTGACTCGACAGCATTTAACAACAGCAACAATGTTACGATGTATTATCCTTTTCTATCATGGGATTTTATTTACTAAAACAGGTTTCTTACAGAGAATTGTATAACCTAAATGTAAATTTTTAAACTAAGGAGAGTCTGGATGTTTCTGATTTAATCGTCTAGGTCAGTAAATTCAAAAGATGGCAAGAAATAACAATAAGAAAAGAATGAGATAAAAAAAATAAAGAAAGAGGAATTAATCATTTAAATTTAATCATATAAATTTATGGTGAGCCTTAATCAAGAAAAAAATTAAGAAGATTCAAATAGCCACAATCTGAAATTAAAGTATTTTCACTACATTGCTAACAGGCATTAAAATATAGGAGAGGCTATCTGGAACAAGGTTAAACATTTTAATATATTTATGAAATGGTTATACTCTAATACACATAGCTGTTAATTGAAGAATACATGAGACAGAAATTAGAAATATGACTTTTTATCTATTAAATAAATAGAATCTATAATTAAACATTGTTTACTAATGGTACGCTTTTAAAGCTTTCTCTGGGGAAAAAAAAAAAAGGTAAAAAGACCTACAATGACTATTGCAAGTCCTCATCATTGAAATATGGCTCACAAAGAAATAGATGTTCAAACTAGAAATAAATTACTAATGGAAGACAGGAGAACATTGCAAATAGTTTACATGAACCATAAGGTATACTGAGTACATTTACCAAGGACCCTGGCTAGAAGGACAATGTAGAAAATCTATATATTTATAGGTAGATAGATAGAAAAATAGATACTATCAAAGACACTTAAAAATTTTAAATTTATAACATCTGTTATAGTCCTGGAGTCTTGGTGTGGCACTGTATTTTAGATACTCTAGGAATTAAACTAATGTTGTACAGTAAAATTATAAATCATTTTTATCTGGGCAGACTTAGGTAAATTGAGGCATGCTCCATTATCAGGGAGTAGAAGGTGCAGTATTTCTAAATATTAAATTTTTCTTAATTCCATAGTCATGTGTGCATGTTGCTGAGTTTCCATTATGACGCATGATAAGTATCGCTTTGTTCATCTTGGTGATTCTTACATTTTTCTCCTTTACACAGGTGTGTGATTTTGGCGTTATGGTGTCAAGTCTGCCGACCTCTGACTTCTTTGCACTCTTTTCAGTCAGTTTTCCATTCCTTTTCTAAATGCTTTAATGAGTATTCTTTTCACAGCAACAATGATTTCAAAATTGAAAACAAAACAAAAAAAAAATGAGCACAAATATTGGGATTTAATGGCAGAGTCTCCAGGCTTACACACATGAAAATCCTGAGTTTAAAGCAGTTATTATTGTTGGGAAGTGCCGTCGAGGCAGTTCCGACTCATAGTGACCTTGTATAGGGTTTCCAAGGAGGTAAGTTTGAACCTCTGATCTTGAATTTAGTAGCTTAGCGCTTATACTACAGCACCACACGCAATACTGTAACTAGATGATATTTGATTCTCGTTTTCTAGACCAACACTGATTGAAACGTTACGTACATCTGCTATCCAGTGTGGCAGCCACTGGCCCTGAGTGACCGTTAAGCACTTGAAATGTGACTGGAGTTACGAGAAAAAGAATTCTTTATCTATCTTAAATTTTTACTTGAAATGTAGAAGCCAGTCGAAGTAATTTATATCTAGTGCTTTGTACATACTAGTAGGAAAGATCAGTCCCCAGAGAATGACATCATCATGCTTAGAAAAGTGGAAGTTTTTTCAAAAAGGAGGAAGACCCCCAACAAAAAAAGAGTGACACAGTGGCCGCAATAATGGGGTCAAACACAATTGTGAGGACAGTGCGGTGTTGTGTTCTGTGGTGCATAGGGTTGTTAGGAGCAGTAGAGCATCCTTTTAGAAGCCACAGTTTTGACTGAACCTTTAAAATGGAGAGTAAGACAAACGGATTATAGAGAAAACTTCTTTAAACACATTTTGTTTGGAACAAACCATGTATGTATAAACTAGAAAAAGAAAACAAAAATGTAGAAGCCAGGACTGGTGTGGCACTGTAAACTATTCACAGGGTCGACAACTCAAAAAACCTGATACAGGGTCACCAGGAGTCAGAACCAACGGATGGCACTTCTTCTGTATTGCGTAGTCCATGCAGTTTTCATATTTGACCATTTCATCTCTCCTAAGATAAAGGAGGAGTCCTGGTGTGGCGCTGTGGGTTAATGCGCCAGACTGCAAAGTTGTTTGAACTGCAAGGTTGGCGGTTCAAGCTCACCAGCTGCTCCTCGGAAACCGTATACAGGGTTGCTTTAGGTCGGAACCGACTCAATGGCACTTAACAACAACAACAACAAGATAAAGGAATTAAAAAGTGTACTATTTATATGATCATACCCACAATTACCGAGTATCAGCTTCTGGTTCTGAATTCCTACCTGTAATACTCCCGATTGTGTTCGTGTCCTGCCATTCGTGGTGTGTTCTAGTTTCATGATGATGGTTGTTATGTGCCGTGGAGTCGGTTCCGACTCCTAGTGAACCTGTACCGGGTTTCCGAGGCGCTAAATCCTTACGGGAACAGAAAGCCTCCCACAGAACAGCTGGTAGTTTCGAACTGCTGACTGTGAGGTTAGCAGCCCGATTTGTAACCACTATGCTACCAGAACTCCTTTATGATGATGATATGCCATATATATTATTAGAAACTAAGAGCATAGCCCTGATTTTAAATATGTGAGATTGAATAAAAGGCAGTGTTGGGAATTGCATCCTGGGAGAATCAGGCAGATCTTTTCCAATCCACCCAAACCAACCTTCGTCCTCACAGGATCTTCTCAGACTGACTTCATGACCATCCCTTTCCTGAGTTTGTTTACCTCCTCAACATATAGTGGTATTTTTACATTCTCTGAGAATGCAAATACGGCATTGTCTTAAGTTACTTGGTTTATCAGATTCTTTTTCCCAATCAGACTCCAAAGACAACAGCAGCTGAGAGCTGCTATCTGCTTCCACATGTGCACACATCTGCCAGAAGACACAGCATCACCTAGGTGTCAACATCTGTGTGACCAAGTGAGACAAATGGAAGCAACTGTCCTGAGCAAGCTGAGCTAAACACCTGGGAACCAAGGAGCGGGCTGAGAAGGGGAGAGGGGATTCCAGCACTGCAGGCTTA